TGATGATGTCAGGATTCTAGTTTTACCAAAAACATAAACTAAGTTGAATTGTACTAAAAATTTACCTTTGAGCTTCATGACAACCAAGGCAAAAGGGTAATATTGTTCTTTGTGTCTGACAGTGAGAAGTCTCTCTATTAGTCTGTCAGTGAACTCAGTAATAGCATTAAAATCAAAGAGTTTCTCTATGCACCTTAGGGTAAGAGATATTGAATTCTAAGTTAAAAACTGTCTTCAGTAGCAAAGTTACAAAAGGAGATCAGCAAACAGTTTTAAAGGAATTTGTTTGTTTTAAGATACATAAGCTAGTCTGTTAAAAAGGTGACTTGAAAAAGTCCTGCTTTAGTGCCTAGACTAGAAAAATGCACAATTTAGCATATCAATTTGTAATAAATAAACTTTTAAAATGTTTGAAATCTTTGTAGAATAATTTCCTAATCTTCCCATAATATTAATCATTGTAATCAAGGTTTACTAGGTCACTGTGGTAGATTCTCGCTCACAATCCTCCTGTAAATGACATCATCATTGAAATCCCAGTTTCTCTAACTTTTAAGATTCAGGCAGGTCCCATAAGAAGCTCAGCACAGGTTAGTCACCCATCTTGATGTGGTTAGAAGGACTTTGCTCTGCTGTGTGATCCTGTTGCCTTTTGCCTTCTGTAAATGATGCTGATATTATGGGCAGCTCTCACAGCTTCGCTATGCAACCCAGAAGAGGCAGTGTCCAAGGGGTGAGTGACTACGACCCTTTCATTTGAGACTATTCCAAAGTTGCTGTGATTGGCCAATAAGATGGGAATGGATAGAGTATACTAGGACTCCAAGGTGCTCAGTCATCATCAGAAAGCCTATTAGATAATTATAATGGTAGATGCTGATGGTGCCCACCTAGGTCTCCTTCCTGTGCCAGTGCACCCACCTTCTAGCTGTTAATGACTTGCTGCTGTATACAAGGCCAAAAGGAACTGCCTTGCATAGAAATATCCCAGAGATTAAGCCATCCCATGGGAGCAGCATTTAGTCAATGAATATTTGAAATGATGGTAAACAAGCTCAACTCGCTTACCTCAAAGTGGGACACCTCTGTAGTAACATTCACGTTCTAGGTTTCCCGGATGGAGGGGTGACTGAAGCTAAATTTTAATTCGACTACCCTTTTGCTAGTTTTCTTCTCTCACCTTCACTTCCTTACATTTTTCTCCTAAAAGCACTTTCTTGCCCAAGAAGCCTTTTCTTCCATCCCCAACCTGAAGCAGGTATATGCCTCCTATGCCCTCAAATTCCTTACAGCTCCTGTCCTTTTGGTCCTACCTAATTTAAGCACGTAATTCTCTCTTCTTAATTGAGAGCTCCTTATGACTGGAAACATCTCTTAGTCATCTTTACAGTCTCAATATTCAGCAGAACTGGACCTCAGCAGATGTTGTATGTACTCAAGAATGACATATGAATGAACCAAAGAAATGACTTGACCTTCTTGTTGTGAATAATTAAAAAGACGATTGATTGCTGTCCCTTCCAAATCATAACGTATTTAAAATTGGTAATTTCCAAATGAATTGTTACTTTTTTCCAAACATGAAAATCTCAGTTCTTTATGTAAAGTATAAACCCCAGTAGATTGGCAATTTATTCTCGTTAAAGGTACACACTCATGTAGGATTGTTAGCCTCCTCATTGCATTCACCCTGGTAAGTGAGGTGAGGAGGAGCAAGCGCTATGCAAGGCACAGGGAAGCAGACTAAATTGGAAAGTAATAACCATAAACTATTGCAACCCTGGGATTTGGAAATTAATGGTGGTGGTGAGGGGGTGTTAAACACAGATTACATTCATTAGGGTAGTATCACTTTTTATCATCATTTGTCACCCTCCTTCCAAGAGTGCCTATCATTCAGGGGCATCATAATTAGATTCCATTAAAATGAGGAGAATAAAAAAGGGGTTTCAGAAATCAGTAAGCATCCTTTACATATGACTGTTTACATTATTTTTTTATCATAGTGCTTTTTCAATATCATTTACGTAATTTTTTCTATGACAACAGATTCTGTTGCATTTGGGCTCTTGATGTAAGCCGATGGGTTGGTGAAGCAATCAATGACTCTTGACATTTCAGACCAACAATAAAATTACGAGATGCAATTCAAAAAAATTGGAACAATGATGTGCTCTGTTGTTGTTCACAAATTGAAATGTGGTATAAGTGGTTTTTGCTGAAATTAAGGTACAGCTCAGAAGAGGAGCCTTCAATAGTTGCAATGTCTCTGGAGAGGATTTTAAAGTCTGTCTGATATGCTGTGGAGCCAGTGTCTCCCCTGGGAGCTGGGAAAATGGAACCCTCCATCCTTAGCACAGATTCAGCACCTTTTCTTGTCCCACCTTTATTGCTCACTTCACGTGTTTTTAAATGTATTAACATTTCTACCCTACCCACTAACTTGTTAGCTCCTTAGAGGGCAAAAGTCAAACCTATTTCACACTTATGCACAGTTCTGAGGCCTTTGTTCACTATATGAGATTTTGTTCAGTTATATGAGATTCATCATGTTCTAATTAAAAAGGTACTACGTGCATATAAATGCTTGGTTATGGCACACTTGCACCTATTTGGATCTTTAAATATGAAGTTCAGGGTAGCACATCTGCATGTCTTGAGCTTTGTATTAATTTTCTATTGTAACATAACAAATTAGCATCAACTTAGTGGCTTAAAAAAACACAAAATTATTATCTCATACTTTCTATGGCTCAGAAGTCTGGTAGTGTCACTTTCACTGGAAATTTCATGACAGAATCCTCTTTAGCAGCTAATCCAGTTTTCTGTGCCCATCTATCATGGGCCTGAGTTCCTGAACATAACAAACTTAGGAATTTCTTTTTACCTATACTTCGTGGTCAGAAGTGCAAGACAAATTTCAATTCAATTAAAAAATTTAGAAATAGCTAAAGTAACAATAATTTCTGCTTTTTGTTTTAGCAATTTCAGGTTCTATTTAAGCATTTTGTATAAAGTATACCTTTTTCTAAGATGAGGAAACTGAGGAATAGAGAGGATTCATTATTTGTCCAAGTGACACAGCTAGAAATTAGAGTCCGAAATCAAGTCCAAGGCTCTCTGAAACCAAAGCTCTGCTCCAGTGCCATGCTTAATTTCTTCTTATATTTTTTCCATCTTACTGAATATCAAGAGACCTACTCTATCCTTTCCCATAGTTGTTCCTCGGACTTTCAATAATGCAATCAGATTAACTCCTGGCTAGCTTGATAAGTTGAAGTCGATGCTTGGATTTAAACCCATCAGACTTTTCACTCATGAATATTTTAGTTATTTGGCAAGCTAAAAAAATGTTTAAGCTTATAATTAATATATTTATGCATAAGTATATTTAAGAACTCAGAACCTGAAATTAGCTTTTAATTTGACATGGCCATTGAAAATATATAGTATTCATTTTTTTCTTTTTGCATGTATTAAGTACTGAAGATGATTATAATATACATATATCACATGTACACTCACCATCATCATCACTAACCTGTGTAAGTTCTACTCTGTGTCTGACATAGTGCTAGATTTTACATAAATTTTCTCTTTTAAATGTCATAATAACTTTCAAAACAAGTATTAACAAGACTCATTTTATTGGAAAAAACTGAGACTCAGAAAGGTTAAATAACTTGCTGAAAGTCCCATCACTAAGTATTGGAGCTTTAATTTGAACTTTTGCTACTTCTCTCATGTCACATAATCTTCCTAAATAACATGAGTTAGTGATTTGGAGGGCAGGGACCATGTCTTACACTTCTTCAGTACTTTTCCCAGTATTTAGCATGGGTGTCTGTAAAATCTTAGGTGATGAAGAAATATTTGTTTGATTGAAGCTTAGGGGCTGACACTCATTAACATAAACCTTAAAAAGAAGGAAAACTAGAGAATACTACAGAAAATTTATACCACCTTATTTCCACAAATTGTGTCTTGAAAAAGGTTGTGAATTCATCCCAGCAAAGATCATGACATTATATTGGCAATACCAACTATTGGTGTTGTCTTTGAGCAATGATAATAAAAATTTGCATTTGGCAAACTTTAAATTTTTTTACATATTTTCAAAATTGCTTTCAATCAAGGAATGGTTTTCATTAATAAAATCATAAATGTATCTCCCTACAATATTATGCTAATGAACAAGAAGGAATGAATAATCACCCGAAACTGAAAAACACTTTAACATGAATACAGTACTATAGATAAACTCAGCCAGCAGCAGGATATAGTTCACCTAGTTGCTGTAACGTTTCACACAGAATGGATTTGGAAGTCCTGCTTCGCTAAGTGGCATATGTGGGTGCGGTGAGCTGTTTCAAGCAAGCCATTTCAATTATGCAAGAGTATAAACTACTTTAGAATTACACTGTAAACAGCATTTTCAATCTTGTACTGCAATTATACATTGAATGTAGATCAAATCAGAATATAGAAATCCCAAAGACTGCTGGCAGGAATAAAAAGGGGACCTGATTCTCTGAACAAGGGCACAATCTCCCAGCAGCTGGCGCGGCTTCCCCAGCAGCCACTCAGTTAAATTCTTGCCGCACAGGCAAGTTCTACAGACATCAACTGTGAGCAGTGCATTCATGGGAAAAACCCTGGCGCTGAATATGTCCATTAGTTTTGTCCTTTTTTCTCACTTTCAGAATTAACTCTTAATGCAAAGTATTAATCTCCTTAACTCATGAGCACTTTGTGTTAATTAATTGACAATTAATGCAGAGTGGAGCATAGGAGGCAGCAGTAATGATGTGGCCAAAAGCATGGGTATTAGAATTGATCAGTCTGGGTTCAAGTCACAGGTCTGGCACCAAAAGGAGCTCAGGCTAACAATTTCAAATCTGGGGGCTTAGCCTCATCCTCTATAAAATGAGGATAATATTATCACATACTTCTTAGGATTATTGTAAGTGTAAAAGATATAATACATGGAAAGATCTTACCTCAGTGCTTAAAAGCATAATTTTGCAACAAAAAATGGATTGCTCTTTGAGTTGACTTCCAGAATGGTGGTGTGAAGAGCTCCTCAGAGAAACGAAGGTAACTGGTGAAAAAAAATTGTTTTTAATTAAAATCTCTGGAAATAGTTCTAAAGGCACACAGGGCATGAAGAAATATTTATGTAAGTAAATCTACCAAAGCGGGGTAAAAAAAGCAAGCAGCTATGTCATTTGAACCACTAACAGGTTCCACCTTTTCCCTTCCCCACAGTTCAGCATGATGGAAACTCCACTCGTGGCAGGCTGAACCAAGAATACTAGGCTCTCTCACCCCAGATCAGAGTCAACAGGTGTGGTTTCTCCTTGGAAAAGGGGGGCTTCCTGTGTATCTCAACTCCTTAGTTATGAGGCTAAATAAATGTGAGGTAACTACATCCAAGAGGTCAGAGGCTACTTTCCTTCTCCCAGCCTTCATCATAGGGGGAGATCTACCCCAGGCACAGAAGCACAAGAATACACCTGAATTGGCCTATACTAGGTATGTTGAAAGTACTGAAGACAACCATGCTTAAGAAAGTAAAGAAAGGTACAAGGACAAGATTTCAAAAATTGAGAATATCAAAAAAGAAGTAGATCTATAAAAAAGAACCAAAAGGAAATTTTGGAGTTGATATTACAATAATAAAATTTAAAAATTCATGAGAGGGGTGTCACAGTAGATTTGACATGGCACAAGAAAGGGTCATACAGCGACCAAGCAGCAGGATACACACTCTTCACAAGTGCACATGAAGTATTTCCAGGGGTAGACCGTGTGTTAAGCCATAAACAAAGTCCAAATAATGCATCTACACTTGAAGAAAGTTTGATAGATATTATGAAATCTGAAGAACAGAGGAAAAGTTTTAAAAAATGAACACACATTCAGAAATATAGAATACCATCAAGTAGAACAACATACACATAACAGAGGTACCATAAAGAGAGGAAAGGGGGAAACAGAGCAGAAAGAATATTTAATGAAATAATGGCTGAATACTTCCAAAATTTGATGGAAAATATGAACCAACACTCAAGAAGCTCAATGAACTTCATGTAGCATAAACTCAAAGAAATTACCATCCAGACATATCACCGTAAAAAAATTTTGAAAATCAAAGACAAAAAAAAAATTCTTGAAAGCAGCAATAGAAAAATGGTATATCACATACAAGGAAACCCCAATCAGGAAAATTTCTGGCTTTCTATAAAAAATAATATAGGCCAGAAGGCAGTGGGATGACATATTTAAAGTTCAGAGAGGAAAAAAAACTCTGTAACCAAGAATCTTAATGCTACCAAAACTTTCCTTCAAAATAAAGGCAAATAAGAAGTTATTCGCAGATGAATAAAAACTGATAGAATTTTTTGCTGCCAGGCCCACCTTAGACAAATGCTAAAGGAAGTTCTTCAGAAAGCAAGTGACCTCTGACCTTAATTGTAATCCAAACAGCATTGGGAAAGGTAATTCTGTAGGTAATTATACAAGACAGTACAACTGCTATTTCTCCTCTTTTTTATCTTCAATTATTTAAAAAGCAATTGCCTAAAACTATATACATGCAATTGTATCATTGGGCCTATAACATGTATAAGCAATATATTTGGCCATAACATTGGAGTGTGGAAATGGCACCAGATGGCAACAAGAATTCACAGCAACATGAAGAGAATGAGATGGTAAATAAAATCAATAAAACAACCTGTAAATATATACATGTTCTCCTTTCTTCTTTTGGCATCTTTAAAAGATAATCATTTATATAAAGTAATAATTATAACATTGTATTGTTGGCTTTGTAACAGATCTCCTGTTTACTTTGAATAGCATTACTGATTCATTTCATTTTTATAATTAACAGTCTATTGATTGAGAACTAGGCCAACTTATCTCTCTGTTAATTGAATCAAAAATGGTGATTAATGCACTCTAGGAAATGAACTTGTTACAACTGAATTTACCAATGTGTTTTCTGCAGAAAACAAAGTCCTATGAACTGATTTTTTACAAAGAAGTTTCCATTATCAAATAAAGTTTGAAAATGCTGCAGCTATATCCGTCCCACAAGCACACCAGCTTATTACAAGTGTTGAGATATCCTGCAGCTAAAGAATACTGTTTATACTGTTTATCTTTTTTAACTCAGATTTCCCAAGTTTATTAACCTTACAATGCCCTTTCTTTTCAGGTTATATTAAAATTTTGAAGAAATAAAAAAAATATATATATGTATATATATATAACCAAAAAATGTATACACATTTTAAGAGGTGGTATCTATGCTTAAGCAGTAGTTCACTGTAATCAGAATTGTCTGGACGCTGATGGTAACCACTCTGAGCACCTCTTGTAATTGCAAAAGTCAAACATGACTTGTATTCATCTTTTTAAAATCAGTATATATTGAGTACTACAATGAATAGAGTTTTTTTCTTTCTTGAAAATGTGTATACATTTTTGGCACCACCTGTGTGTGTGTGTGTGTGTGTGTGTGTGTGTGTGTGTGTGTGTGTGTGTATATATATATATCAACACAGAACACTATACAAAAAAAGCAATTACCTAAAACTATACACATGTAACCATATTGTTAGGCCTATAACATATATAAGCAATATATTTGAAAATAATATTTTCACAATATACTAACACACATGCACACACACATTTCAGAGGTACACACGTAAGTAGATTACCAAGGGACTCAATTATCAGATTAATTCAATAGAACAATATTCTGCTTCAAGTCTAGTGCTTCATGGGAAAGAGTTTCCATGGACTTGTAGAAAGGAGACGCATATGAAATATGCATTTTGAAGTTACCTAATAACCTCACCTTTTGGTATGCGGCACAGAGAAAGGCAGAGATTTTTCTCAAAGCTACATAAAAACTAACGGCAGAAAGTTGGAATTTTTTTTCCAACGGTCCGCTCTATCTTGCCCCTGTACATATAATTCAAAATGTTTTTGATGATAAATATACATGTGGATAAGGGAGAATCTGCTTACGTGGGACAGGAAACATGTCCTTCAGAGGTACTGATAGTACATGGATAGCATTTTAGTGGAAAAGACATAGGCTGACCTGGTATGAGCATTTCTAATAATTCCAGTGTAATATTCTCCGGAAGCTCCCAGAAGCAGAGAGCACAGATGTAGCCATGCTTTACTGAAAAAGTGCAGCACGAACATGAAAGAGTGTGGAAATCGGTGGCTTTGGTGAGAAGCGATTCAGATAGTCAACTATGAAGTCCAGGCCAGGTAGAGAGGAAGGTCTGACCAGGTGGGAGCTGGCAAACTGAGAAAAGATGGAATGATTAACCACTAGAGGAACGAAGGAAAGAGAGGACTATATAAAGTGGGAGAATAAGTCAGTTGGAGAGGCCTAGGAGGACAGGGGTTTGTAGTTAAACTTTGAAGTATTAAATCCTAAGATTTGGTAGGTGGAAGGTGGCCCGAGGGTGACACATTTTAGGATTTATCTGGTGGAAATGGGATGGAGTCAATGGTCAGTGGAATGAGTTAGACAAGAAACTGTGAGCTGCGGTGTTAAACAGGATATTCACAGAGTTTTAAAGGCCCTCGAGAAGATGGGAAAAAAAATACGTTAGGCAGCGAACTATATCAATAGTAGACAGCAACAAGAAGAGATAAAGAGTAGTAGGACATGACAGCCTACAGCTCAAAGGAAGAGGGAATTTTACAAAAGACGAGGCATGCTGTTCTGGAAGCCAGGCTGAAAGCAGAGGGTGTGTGGACTGAGGAAGGATGGACAGCTTCTCCTGAACCGGGAGCAAGGAGGGGCAGGACTTGCAGAGAGGGAGTCGGATTTGGGTTAGAGCAAAAGGGAAAGCAGATTTCCTATCAAAAGATCAGACATCAGGGTTGTTTGCATTGTACAGGGTTCCGGAGGGCATAGTAGAAGTGGATGGGAAAGAGAGGAGGAATGGAGAATCAGTCAGAGAAGAGGAAGAACAGAAAAGCATTGGGAAGGGAGCTTAGAGGAGTATATGATAAGTAGAAGGCAGCATTGTGGTTACAAGCACAGGCTCTGAAGTTAATCCACCTTGGTGTGGATCCTAGTTCCACTGAGTCACTAGATGTGTGTTTCTGGTCCATTTACTAAACTCTCTCAGTTTGTTTCCTTCTCTCTGAAATAGAAACAATTTAATGAGATAATACATGTACAATTGTTTGATGTAGTACTTTAGGCATCATAAGTGTTCAATTAAATTTGAATATATGTACATTATAACTTCTGGAGACCATGGCTGTCAGGTGTGTGATGCAAAGCAGAAATTGCTAGCCTAAAGGTTCAATATTTCAAATAGACCTCTGTTGTGGAGTTGTGTAGGTGCAAGCTAAGGCCCACTGAAGAAGACAGAGAAGCCAGGTGAAATTTTGCTTGGTCATATATGTACTTTGCTTATTACACTAATAGGTTAATTATAATTTCAGTGCAGAATGTGTGTTATAGAGAGAGTGGATGACGTATAGGGGCAAAGAGAAGGAGTGACTCATTCTACCAGTGTTGGAAGTCAGGGAGGGCTGTGCAGAGGCACGCTTTGGAACTGAGTCAGAGTTATGAAGGCAGAGTAGGAAGAGACGGAACAGCATATGCAAAGACATTCAATCATGAAAAACATAGAGTATTCTGTTGAGAAGAGCAACAAAGTCACTGTAATTCAACCCCAGGTAGGAGTAGCTCAGGAGGAGGAAATGAAGCTGGGAAGTGGTCTGATTCTAAAGAGCAAGTAACAAGGAACCACACAATAGCTGAATGCATAGTTTCAGATCAGTAAGAGAAATAAACTGTGCAGGAAAGATTCTACACTAGGTTTTCTATAGGAAGGATGTCCCTGAGGAAGAAACAAGGAATTCTGGGCAGACAAAAGCAATAGATATAATAGATACAATCACTTTGTCATAGATACAGTGTCCATAAGCATGCAAAGAAGGCTATCCCCAGAGAGAAACATAACTTTCAAATCTCTCTCACTCAGATCAGGGCCTGATTCCACTGACAATTCATTCCTCATTCTGTTTCTTCTTTAACTTTCAACA